GCAAGCACTTGAAGTATTTTTTGCATTATCTTCTAATATTTGCCTCCATATTTAAGTACTGTGCTTATATTGCCACTGCTTGATGTTTCTGTTTTTAATGTTATCTGTTGACTTCCTGCTGTGGAGGATGAGGACTTAGCTCATTCACATCCTCTTTCCCCCATCATCTTTTCAGTATAGCTGTTTCCCAACTTTCAGTTAAATCAGTATTCTAAGTTCACGTTATCTGCTAGGTAAATGCCATTCACCTCTGAGCCATGGTGTACCATGATGATGTTTCCTTTCTCAACCACTTTCGTCCCCTTCGTTTTTGCCTTTTTTTTTTTTTGCATCTTTTCCTATGGACCCATCACTAATTCATCCAAATCTCCAACACCACTGTAACATGTCTCCTAACATGGATAGGATAAACACATCAGATTCTTTTTTGCTTGAAATCTTTCCCAGAGGCCTCTTGACCTACTCCAGGCTGGGTACTGTATTAGTTTGCCAGGGCTGCTTAAAAAAGGACCGCAGGCTGGGCGGCCTAAATGACGGGTAGTATTTTCTCACGGTTCTGGAAGCCGGAAGTCCGAGATCAAGGTGCTGGCGGGGCTGGTTTCTTCGGAGGCCTCTCTCCTTGACCTATTTAGATGGTTGCCTTCTCCCTTGGTCTTCACATGGTCTCCCCTCTGTGTCTGTGTCCAGGTTTCCTCTTAGAAGCTCACCAGTCATATTGCACTAGTACCCACCCTAATGACCCCATTTAAACTTACCTCTTTCAAGACCCTATCTGCAAACACAGCCACATTCTGAAGTCCTGGTGCTTAGGAGGACTTCAACATACGACTTTCGCCTGGGCACAACTCAACCTATGGCAGGCACCCTGGTGGTTCTCCACACCTGGGGCATAGCTCTCCCCTGGGACTTCTTGTCCTCGCCCTGGGCATTACTACGTCCCTCTGCTGTTTCCTGGATCCATAGCTGCTGCTTTCCTGATTTACTGCCCTGTTTGGTGGAGAACATCCTCCCATAGTTTTCCAAGAAGGATTAATGGGATGTAAATCTTTTGAGGCTTTGGCATGTCTGAAAGGGGTTTATTTTATTCTTTTTCTGCATTGATAGTTTGACAGGCTGTATACTTTTAAATGCATTTATACATTGTTTTCCATTGCTCATAGCTGCTGTTTGAAACCTTGTGCTATTCTGATTCCAGAACTTTGACTTGTGACCTGTAATTTTTTCTTTCTGAAAGCTTTAGGATCTTTATCTCAGGTGTCCTGAAATTTCATGCTATACCTTAGTGTGGGTATTTTTAAAATTCATAGTGCTAGATACTAAGTGAGGCCTTTCAGTCTGGCCTGAATGTGCATTGGTTTTGGAACTCTTTTCATCTTATCCTATTTTCTTTTTGGGGAACTAATAAGTTGACTATTGAATTTTCTGAAGTGTACCTCCAAGTTAATTGTGTTTTTTATTTTCCACTTTTAATCTTTCCCTTTTTTTTTTAAAATCAGAATTGCCTCAGCTTTATTTTCTACTCTGTTAATTATTTAGGTTTTCTGCTGTATATTATATACATGTTTTTCTGCTATATATTTTTTAATTTCTAAGAGTTAGCTCTTATTTCCTGAATGGCATTTTTTCCCCAGCATTTTTTAACTTATTTTTTAACTAATGTATTATCTTTTCCTTCTCTAAGGTTACCGGTTTTTAAGTTTCTTCTGTTCTATCAGCTGTTTTTGTTTTTAATTTTTATCTTTTCCTGTTTGTTGATGCCTCTCTCCTGTTAGATGTGATCTTGAAATATTGGTGACCTTTGCCTGTCTTTTTGTCCTTAAGATTAAGGCAGTCAAAGTTGAAAATCCAACAGCTGATTTATTTTGTATATATGTATTCCCACTGTGCTCAAGCCACACG